ACTGGAGTTAGGATGGTTGTTAGCCACTATGTGGGTGCTGGGAACTGAACCTGGGTCTTCTGCAAGAGCAATCAGTGCTCTTAACCACTGAGCTAAGCTGTCTCGCCAACCCCAAGAAAAGGGGTTCTTAACAATAAGGTCTTAAAGGTAATGCAATTATCCTATAGTTTTATTTGGAATTATTGGGAGTGCCTAAGTGGGGTGAAGAAAAATATTGTAAGACAGATGTTCAAGAAATAAAAGAACACGCTTCTTATTTGATTGATGATGTGATTTAATTTTAGACAAAATTATGACAAAAGTACCAACAAGGAGAGGCACCAAAACAAACAAAAAATCCAGCTTTTTCAAGAAAAATGGTAAAAAATATAACTCAATGAAGAAAAGTTAATCAAAGATCAAAAACTGAAAAGTAAGGGAGCAAATGGAATGATCTGGTGGCTGGTGGTTTGGCAAGGGCTGTGGTTTTGGAGTGGAAAGAGAAATATTCTCTGGACCACATAGTAGAGAGCAAGATCTAGTGCCTACTGCACTTTCAGGATATGTAGTCTGTGAGCAAAGACATGCATAAGAGCATCTTTCATCTGTCTGTGCACAAGGAAAGATGTTCAGGGTGCAGCCCAGGTTTTATGAGAGGGAGATACTGAAGTATAGTTTCAAAGAAAATAATTTTTTGACAGTGGCCATGAATTTTAAAGAGCACAGTATAAAGATTTTGGTAAGGATGGTTATGACTGTGAGATTCTATATCCATTTGATGACAAGAATATTGATGATTAATGATGATCAATTCTGGTTGGGAAGGTTATATTTTTTCAGTAACAATAGTAAATAAAAATGTGATATATGATTAGATTAGCTCTGAAGTCCTCTGAAGGTGAGATAGATCTTCAGATCTACCATTAGCTTTTTGTAGACTTAAATTGTATTATTTTATGGAACTTTTCATAGAAAAGTTGTGTGGCCAAGAGGACAGAGGGTATTGTATGTTGGTAAGCAGAATATGGATTAATTGTGGAATGAGTTTTGACTTACCTAAAGTGTAAGGAAATGCAAACCTCCTCTAACCCCTGATGTAGACATACAGAACTGTCATTTTTACCAAAGTCTGGCTTTACTAACTGTTACTAAGACAAGAAACAGATTGGGGAACAGGGACATCTTGCAGGAGATATTTTATAATTCTTGATGAGCAACACTTCAAGGTCTGACAAATACTATTTTCCTCCAAGTTGAAATTCTTTTTCTGTGTTTACTTTCTGTTTGACAAATGAAGAATGTTGTTGGCTGAGCAAGTTTATAAATTTAATGTTGAATGGCAGCTATTTCCTTCTGGAAAGTAATGACTTTTCTTAATCACATACAGTCTTCCACTCTACCAAGTGAGCTATTGAAGGGGGTTAGTAATAACTTTTCAAAGAAAATAGTACACAAAAATATTTGCTGATATTTGAGAGCCTAATTGAGATTGATTAACTATAATTGGATGATCAGGCCTTTGTTAATAATCCAGTGTTTTGTAGGCATTACTATAATTAATGCACTGATATAGGAATGAGTAATTTGAAGGACAAGAGGATAGAGACCTTGATACAATTAAAAAATAGATTAATGATGATGGGCATGGTGGCACATGCCTTTAATCCCAGCACTTGGGAAGCAGAGGCAGGCAGATCTCTGTGAGAACCAGACAAGCTTGGTCTACACAGTGAGCTCCAGGGAGATCCTGCCTCAAAAAACAAACAAAATAGAACAGATTAGTGTGAGAGAAGCTTAAATGACTGGAAGGATATGTGTGTGTGTGTGGGGGGGATGATGGTGAACACTTGAACTGTGGAACCAGGTTGCCTGAGTGCATTAAACAATTTACCCAAAAGGATGCCAGGGTAAAGTGGAACAAGATGGCCCATACTTCATCTGTCTTTTTAATGGTATTTTCCATTTCTTCATGCATGGTATAATTCCTGCTCTTTACGTTTTTTCAGCTCTAGAATCAAAAGCGACTAGTCATGCTTCATCATTTTCTTAGCTGAATACTTAGTCCCAAACAAGCTTAGATTCTCTGTGAAAGGAGATCATTTTTAAAGATACAAAAAATCTAACAACTTTTAATATTTTATTCATTATTTTATTTTATGTGTATGAGTGTATTGCCTGCATGTATGTCAGGGCACCCATGTTGTGCAGTGCCCACAGAGGTCAGAAGAGGGCATCGAATCCCCTAGAACTAGAGTTAGAGATGGTTGTTAGCCACCATGCAGGTGCTGGGAATTGAACCCTGGTCCTCTGAGAAAACAGTCAGTGCTCTTAACCACTGATTCATCTCCCTAGTCCCTTAACAGATTAAATGATATGTAACTTTTTAAAAAAGCAACAAAGGCATTAATTCTGTGTGTTAGTTAGAGAGTAAGTGTAAGGAGTCTATCCTGTCATGTATTTTAGTTGCAAATTTTAGTTTGGGTCAGATAGCCATAAAAAAGGAGATCGTTGATAACTGTGGAAATAAGAGTAAAATAATAATGGGTAAACAGAGATTCTAAAATGTTAACTGAAATAAGGTATAACCATGATTCTTAAAAGACAAGGACTATTCAGAAAATATTTATATAAACAAATCAAAAATTTTTTACTATATATAGGCAAGTTATAAAGACCCTTGTGGATAATGAAATTTTCTCAAGTGAAAAAAATATTTTAGTGGCACTTCAGTTAACATGAAACCAACATTTCTGGGATCATTAGGCTCTAAAGGATTGACTTAAATTTTCAATATTGGTGGCAATTATATCTTTTGACAGTTGGTGATTTTAGCGATTCCTAAAACCATAAAACTGTCCCAAGTGTTTTTGACAGTGGGCTTCTAACATAGTAAAGGAGCTCAAAGCCATGCTTCTTGTGTTGCATAGAATCTGTATGAGAGACTCACTGGCAACCCCATCTGAATGCTTCTAACCTGTATCAGAACCAAGTGTCCTCAGAGTCTGCTTAGCATGAATACACATCCTTCTAAGTATCACTTATCATTTTTGCAAGTATAAATGTTCTCTCTAACATGATGTTTGCAATGTTGACAATGGTATGTTAATTAGGCATTGGTTTGCCTCTAGTTGTTGGTCCTCCCTTTCCCTTTTATATAGTCTACTATAAAGATCAGCTTTTATTGGAAGTCCAAGGTTAACACAGAGTCCTCTCGCTATGCAGACAAAGAAATACTACTTCTTGTAAGAACCATTGATCAGCTTCATGACTGCAAAGCACAGATTTCTGAATATCACTTTACGGTGTAATAGTAAGCTTCCAAACCTATAGAAGCACGAGCAGATGTTACAGGCTTAAATTGAATGCCTACAGTCTTTAAACAATAAAACTGGGTGGACAAAGTGTGGAAGATTGAAAACAGTGCACACTGTAGAGATTCGTGTTTGAAGAATCATAGCCAAAATGTAAAACACTTATTTGGATATGATATTTTGCAAAATTTTTTAACTTTTTTAAAAAATTTTATTTTTTTTTAATGTGTATGAATGTTTTGCCTGCATGTAGTAAGCATGCCTGTATGCTGCAGTGCCCACAGAAGTCAGAAGAAGGTCTCAAATTCCCTAAAACTAGGGTCATGGATGGTTGTTAGCTGCCATGTGAGTGCTGGGAACTGAACCTGGGCCCTCTGTAAGAACAGCCAGTGCTCTTAACCACTGTCTCTCCAGCCCCCATGTTTTAGAAAATTTTTAATTAGCATAGAAAGCAATTGGTTCACTGTGACAGTTTATACTTACATATCATTATACTTGGCTCTTATTCACCCAACTTTCCCTCTCACGTCCTCCCCCTTGTCAGTCTCATTTCTTCCTAAAAATATTCTCCCTTCTGCTTTTTTACCACATACATTCCATAACCCCCATAGCAGCTGTTATTAAAGGGATGTGTCCTTGATTTATTTACTCTTTAGATTGTCCATAGATCCTTGGAGAGAAAAAAAAGTTTGCTTGTCGTGATAGAAATTTAAGAATGAGTGAATACTCTTAGAAAGTTCAGTAGACAAATTTCAAGGAAACACTTCATGATTAAAGAACACTTCATGGTTAAGTACAGTCTACTTGTTACATATGAAGGGTAATTATAGTGGAAGAGTGGCATATACAAATTGGAAAACTTCGAGGATTCATGCAGAAAAGGCACATGTATATAGCTCAAGAGATGATGGGAGGCAGTCACTTCATACTGTCCCTACCTAGACACTCATTTTCTATATATTTTCCCCAAAATTGAGGCCCCCTGGGAGAAAAGAGGCATCACCACCAGAAAAACGGATCTATGAAAGTATAGTAGTACATAAAATAAAAAGACCTCAGACGACAGTTCCCCTATTAGTTCATCAGTCCTGGAAGAGAAGGTGA